GTCACTCCTCGTCTTTTCATCCTTAATTACATAAGGTATACAAAGAATAGAAATGATAAATCTAAAGAAAAAAGAGGGAGACCTGTACGAAACCAGTAATCCATGCTTTTGGTTAGTCCATCGTTCATCAGATAAAAGTTAAAACCATGAAATTGGTATTGTAAGGAAATGATTCCATGCTCTGGTAATTAAGTGCCCAAGTGTCAAGTTTTTGGTGCAACGTGTAATTCATGCACATATTTATGTACAATTGGAGGTTCGAATGAAGCAAATTAGATTAACCAACGCTCTTAAGTTTTAAGAGGAGCAACAAATTTGGTTGAACCACACTCTAATCTTTCTACAACCACCCGCTTCTCTTTCTGTCCTTTTCTCTTTCTATCCATCTGGACTAATCAAATCTCAAACACCGCCATCTTTCGATCGGGGCAAAAGTGGAAGGAGATGAAATCATAGATGAACAATTGGAAAAGCAGAGTCATAAACCACCCGTATGAAAATGGCTGGGACTTGGGAATCCATGATCCGGTAAGAAGTCGCTCAGACTCTTTACCACTTAGGCTCTCTTGGTCGCTTTGATTTCGCAGAGAAGAGAATCAGTACGATACACAGGGCACTTCTCTGTTGGCCTCTGCTTCTACGAATTCGAAAGGGAAATCGCTGCTAGCTATTTGGCCAACCACCAACAGAAGACGGGAGGAGCACAACGATAAAATCAGGGGATCCAACTGGTCAAATCGCCAGTCGGTCGACGGGGGAAATCACGGATGGGCAATTGGAGAGGAAGGACAACGATGAGAAGGAAACAAACGATAATGGGAATTTCGAAAAGAAAGAAAGAGGGCGCTCGGGACTTGCCGTGATACGGACCTCTTGCGGTGTTTCCGGTGGGATAGAAAGAGAGGCAACTGGTATAGATCGAATTCCAATTATACACCAGTCAGTCTACGCGGAAGGCCGAAGGGGAAGAACTTGCGTCGTCGCCAGTCAGTCTACGCGGGGAGACCAAGGAAAGATTGGTGAGCAGAAGCAAATAATTGGGCGCAAAAAATCTTGTGGGATTGGGTCGCAGGAGGCTTATGGTACACCTGCCCGCGGCCTACTGGACCCCTTAAGCAAAACTGGCGGATTAATAATACTAATGATGGGGAATGGATCAGGTCAGTAACCTTATGGTGAGTAACTATGAGTAACCCGCCCACATCAGTATGACATCAGCATCCTCTCTCTCCTGGAAAGCCTTTAATTTTCCCCTCCTTAATCTTTGACGGACGATTTCTCACTCGTTTTAAGTAGAAATTTAATTTTTTTTGCACAGTTAGATCAGATTAATTGTGCTCTTCAAAATGATATCCACTTTGATATATTTTTCGAACAAAAAAAATTGAGTCATTTTATACCAGTCTATACCATATGGTATTGACTGGTATTGAAATAAGAGCATACCTATGGTTTGAAAAGCGTACCTTGGTGGTATGGCACAAACCAAGACTGTAGGATGATTGAATACATGATAGCAGAAGTATATTAATTGTCATTTACGACTTTTAACATTCTATACCATAAAATACCATAAAATACCACCTCGTACCAGGGTGGTATTGTATGGTATTGTGTGGTATTTTTTGGTCTTGTAATTTGTTCACCCAGAAATTTGTAGATCAAATAGATCATGATGAACTCGTCCCTGCTGTGCAAACGTTTTAAAAAACGAATGAAAAACGAAGAAAATACCATATGGTATGCAGTTGGTACCGAAAGGCCAAAATTTTTTTTCCTCAAAAAATATTGAAAATTGATCTCATTTTGTAGAGCACGATGAACTCGTTCCATCTGTGCAAAAAAAATTAAAATCCGAGTTAAAACGAAAAAGATATGAGTCAATTAAGAAAACTAGTGAAAATAAAAATGGTTTTTAATTCTCCATCCTTAGATCTGGATTTTCTAAATGAATGGTCCAGATTTGGTTATTGATGGGTGCATAACCATGGGTTATGCACCCTATCTTGAGCCCTAATGATGATACTCGAGATTTACCTTCTTATACAATAACGTAATTTTACTTCTATGCATCTATAACTTAAAAAACCCCTAAATAACTTACATTTCTTTGCTTTACTTTCCTTTGCTAGTTATTTGAATGAAACCCCTAAACATGCTTGTCTATTTTGTATATAATTAGATGGTATGGTGTGAGTAGTTATGCACTAGAAGACATTGTGGAATAAAAATCTAGGACATCCTAGGATCATAACTCAATTTTCGCCATCATCGCCTTCCGCCAAAAATGGGCGAAGAGGCTATTAAGGTACCTACTTGCTTTTCATTCTAGGATTTATTGTTCACTAAATATGTCATATATTTGATATTTTTGCTCATTATCAACGTGTATCATTGGTGAGAAGCTATAAGACCAATAGTGTCTTAGTAGTTTAACCATGATTGAGTCGTTATTTATTTTTTGGAATACTGATGATTTTCCTCCAAAACACTAGAAATCAAGGAATTCTTCGTATGCTCTCTAGTAGCTGCTAAACCCGACCTTCTACACCAAAAAAGTTTTCCTTATATTTAAAGATTTTTTATTTTCATAATTTGTTTACAAATAAAATAAAATTATTTTTTTAGTATTTAATGATAAATGGTAGCGGATATTTATGATTTTGTATATCCAACCCGACTATAAGGATGTGAAGTATTTAATCGAGCAATCAACACATCAATCCCATGCGAGTTGAAACAACAACCTGGTAGGCAAGCTCAACCATCGAAATCATATTTTTTCAATTATTTTAAAACATTGCTGTAAAATTTACTTTGTGCACTTTTTACAAAGGAATCACTTCTTTTCATCGTCCATAGAGGCACCTCACTTATTCTCATCTTCCACGGAAGAGGTTTTACCATCATAATGGCCATAACTGACTCTACCCTTATCGATATCCTCGGTCTCAACATACACCTCTGCAAAGCCCGATCTTGTTTTCAGCTAGAAAAGCAACATCATGTTAACCCAATTATTTTCGGATATGACAACTTCTTCGAACATGACACCGCCTCGACTAATGTTTGGATATCAGTAAGTAATTTTACAAACTCTTGTCTGCCCCCATACAAAACCGGTCTGCACAAATGTCTTAGAGTTTTGCCACGTGAATATGGTCTCAATCTTCAACCTACTGGATTCACCATCTTCATAATCGAATCCTTTATGGGAATTTTTCACCCGACCATTCCACCAAATAAGAAGTTGGAACTTTCAAAATCTACCCATGTCTGCAATTTAGAATGACTAACAATCACATGCAATATCCAAAACCATAATCCATCATACAATCAGCTTTAATCCAAATATTTAGCATAATTAACACTAATTGTAATAAGAGAAACACAAACACATATGACATAACTACTTTGACATTAGTATACTAAAAAAAATCATCCAAAATCATAACTAACGATCAAATACAACATCCAAAATAATAATCCATCATACATTCAGTTTTAATCCAAATATTTAGCATAATTTGCACCAACCATAATAAGTGAAACACAAACATATAACTACTTAAACATGAGCATACTAAACAAACTTATACATATCTTATAGTCAGAATGAGAGAATGAAATCGTTGAAAACAAAAGCGAGTTTGCTTGATCGCTTATGACAAAAGCGATGTGATTTTATCACTTCCTTCCCACGCAATTAAAGAGCAAATTGATGTCCCTTTACAAGATTTTTTTTATTGATTTACTGAGATGGGATTTACCTTTGATTGCTTTCATCCCCAACAATTTTATTGTAGTTCATTTTTGTCCTAAGCGATCAAATGAAAATATAAAAACATGTGTATAATGAGAAATTTGGTAATAACTATTGTATTTTGAGAATATTTTTTAAACTAGTGTACCTAGGAAAAAAAATCCTAACTTCAAATGACCGTCCATCTATACCTTGTTTGTTTTTTCCCCCTTGTCCTTGCGGTCAATTATTGACCGGCGGCTAACCCCATTTTCTTATTCAAGTTTACTAAAAAAAAATTGTCATATAAGTTTAATATTTACATGGCACAAAGCAGTGAACTCATCGAATCCATATTCTAATTAGTAAATAAAATTGACAGAGTCCACCTCAAATTTGTCTCTGTTGGAGAGTGAAAAGGAAATATTTGGTAATTGCAATTTAATTTGAGCGAGCATGGTTATCATATGAGAGGAGAGTTTAAGCACGTCGATCTTAGTCATTTGATATTGATGTTCATAAGATATTTGTAAGGATATGTTTATAAAGTGCCTATTCATCGAATGGTATATGACGACGTACTTTGTGGCCATTGAATGGATGTAGTGATAGTTTATTACTCATTTTGTCACGAAAAATGAAGTTCCTAAAAATAAAAGAATTACAAAACCGTCATTGTATTCATCAAACAATCGAAAAAATTTCAACAATCCGATCAATCAATCACATACCTCTGTGAACACGTTTTCACACATTGATCATGAACACCATAATAGATTCCGATCATATCATCTTTGAGATGTCAAAATGACAAATTTTTGTGTCAAGAATTGAAAAACAATCATAGATTATGCGTCAATGATCATGGAACACTTGACATTGGTAGTATCGTGAAAGATCGGTAAAGACAATAATAATGAAAACCATCTCCTTGACTGTGAAAGTTGAACCAACTGTAGAAAATGAAGTGTGGAAATGGAAATGGTTTGGTTGTATCCCATTACTCCATTCGGCAAAAAATCCAGCGCTCACGATAATAAAAACTTGTAAAATCGTTTTGTTCTTTGCATCCATTCCTCCAATTGCCGCCGGTTGCATAGAAAAACTCTGCACATTGTTGATCCCATTTTTATACAATAAAAGTTTCCAGGCTGCAACAAGAGAAACAATCAAAGCCCCAATTCATTGTTTAGTATAATAATCTTACTCCCACCTTTCTTCTCCCAATTCCGGAATCTACAGTGTTCTTTCTCTCCACATGAAGCTTCGCCATCGCCGAAGCTTTTTCGCCTCTACGGTCTTGCTCGCAATCGTCTTCCTCCATATCTCCGACAACCCAGATAGCGTTTCCGCTCAGGAATCCGATGGAAGTAGTTGCATTCTCGACATCCAACCCCCCGCTGACGATACCAGCTGCGATGGTGATCGCCGGCGTCAGGCCGGCAACTGGGGAGGCTTCATCGACGGCGGTGATGATTGCTGCACACCTGCTTTCGACGACTACTTGTTCGGATTGGCCCGGTGGGCTTCTCAATCGGGTCAGGTATTCTTGAATTCCGCGGACCAGAGCCGCTGCCTGACCGGAACCAGCTGCGGCTTCGACAAGCTCACCCGCGGAGCTAGCGGCTGTTCAAGCTTTACAGTGGCTGATGTTGCTTACAAGCTGAAACCCCAGCTGGAATCACTTGATCAGGGCTGCAATTTCACCGAGGATGCTTCCAGTCAGCACTGCAGCAGATGTTCTGCGAAGTGGGAGGAGATTCGGGCGTCGTTGGACCATGGGTCGAGCTCTGAAACTGAGCTATGCAGGTTTGCAGTTCTGGTCACATTGACCAGCAACTGGGCTGGTTCGAGAGACCAAGTTCAGCCACTCTATGGCTGCCTTTCTCAAGGTAAATGATACATAAACAACTGGATTGTCCGGATCTTACTCCATCTGTATAGCTACAGACTTTGAACTGAAAGGCTTTCCTAACAGTAATACTGACTTTGTTTGCTGTGATTCATGATCCTTTCTCGCAGCAGCTGGCAGCAAAGCGAGCCAAGGAGGGCGTCGAATCGGTAGCAAGATTATCAGGGGTGAGTGACTGATCAACTTGATTCTGCATTTTTTTTCTCCTGCAGAAATGTGGTTACTTGGGACTCAGACTGTGCAAGTGTTATATATATTCTGTTGCAGAAATCCTGATCGTGAGCCTTAGCGTTGGGGGAGTGGCAGCGATCCTCGTGTTGCTGCTATGGATCATGAGCAGAAGGAAGTCTCAGCAAACACGATCACCGGCTGAATCTGGTTCCTTGCGTACTGGTAAGATATCAACAAAACTTAGGTGCAGCTGGAAGGTGGTCGTTTTTTATATAATTTCTTATGTGGTGGGAGATTTTGTTTTGCACCAGCATCACAAAAAAATCTGAACTTCAAGCAGCCTAACAATCTCAAGATATCGATAAAGGAGATTTACTCGGCAACAAATCATCTCACTGAATCGAACTTCATCGGTCAAGGGATAGCCGGTATCTGGATCAAACACATTTCTCTTATTGGTAAATGGTCTTTGCTCATTTGGGTTGGGTTGCTGAAGTTTGTATTGTAACAACTTGTGCAGGAAAGGTTTACAAAGGGAAATTGTCGGATGGGCAGGCGGTTGCAGTGAAGCACATAGTGAGTGATGGCCATGTAGAGACCTTTGTGAGAGAGGTCACCAGTCTTTCTCATGTCAAACATCCTAACCTCGTAGCTTTAACCGGATGTTGCAAGCATGAAGATGAGTACTTCCTGGTTTACGAGCTCTGCGAAAATGGCAACTTATCAGAATGGCTCTACAGTAAGACTCATTCTTTCACTTCCATGGAAGACTGAAATTTTTGCTGGCTTTTCCCTCTCACTGACAGTTGCATATTCCGACAGGCAAAGAGCGGACCCTTTCGTGGCTACAGAGGATTGAGATTGCAATTGACTGTGCTAGAGGTCTCTGGTTCCTTCACACTTACCCTGGAGGCTGCATTGTTCATCGCGATATCAAGGCATGCCCTCTTTTCTTTTCGTTTTTGGCTCTTCATAGACTAGTTCATCGTCTCAGTTCATTTCCTCATTGCGTCTTTTGTTCCCAATAATCGGACAGCCCACCAACATTCTTCTTGATTCCAATTTCCAAGCAAAGCTGTCGGATTTCGGGCTTTCCAAGGTTATGAACTTGGGACAGTCGTTTGTGAGTTCAGAAGTGCGGGGAACGTTTGGTTATGTGGATCCCGAGTATCAGAGGAACCATCATGTCAATGCTAAGGGGGATGTCTATAGTTTTGGGATAGTGTTGATGCAAATTCTATCTGGACAGAAGGTGATCAACATGAATCATAACACACATATGCAGCTCAACAAAAAGGTGCAGCAGAAGAAATCAGCTATCCATCTAATGTCCATCTGGATTTCTTCTATACACAAGTGCAAATAAAGCTTTCAGGTCTGATTTTCTTCACTTAAAAACTTTTTTGCAGGCCTCGTACATAGCCACATCAGGGAATATCGCAGAATTTGCTGATCCTAAACTCAACGGGGAGTATTCTACTGAAGCGTTTGAGATTTTATTCAAGCTGGCCCTGTCATGCTCAGGTGGTAAGAAGGACAGACCAACAATGGAGATGGTGGTGACAAGATTAGAGAAAGCACTTGACATCTCTATGAGATCGTCGAGCTGAAGAAGCGTGAACACTCCCAATCAAGCTAACCCAAAAGGCCTTGTTTATATCAAATTCAAGAAAGTACTAGACTTCTCAATGAGATCGTCAAGATGACAAAGGGTGAACAAATCCAATCAAGCTGACCAGAAGGCCTTGCTTGTGTATCAAATATGAAAATCTGTAGTACATCATTACACTTCTACAACACTAAGTTACTACAGTATCATTTCATATACAACGCAGGAAAAGAATTACAACAGAATAGATGTGTATTTTTGTACAAAGCTTCATTTTAAAAATGTAGAAGCCAAGACAATGTGATGTTGGTAGCTCTTCAAAAACCCGAGCTAATGTCAACAAAAACAAAGGAGGCAAGCATCCTCTACACGATTTCAGTGTATATACAGTGGGCAGATGCTTGCAAATGAAATGAAAAGAATGAAAAATGTGGTATACCCAAATGAAAAAAATGGCTTTGGGTTTACCACGCATGAACAAATCGTTCCCGAGGAAGAACTGTTGCTTTCGAAGTGGAGGAGGTTCTTTCATAGAATTCATGAAGAACCTTAATGAGAGCACCAGCTTTCTTGCTTGCTCGAGATGTGCCTTCGCTGAGTTGGGAATATAATGAACCCATCAGAGAAGGGCTACGAACCAGATAAACCACCACATCTTCACCACCATTGATGGATATAGCAAGCAACAGGCAGACACAATGCTCCATTGCGGCCCTTGGATTGGCAGCAGCCAAAATCCGCACAACCTGAGGCAAAGCTCCGCATCTAATAATCGCTTTTGCCCCCTCAGGTTTCTCAGCTAGTGTTGCCAGAACTGCTAAAGAATCCGTCACAACCTCGTGTCTGTCTGAAGAGATCAAGACATCGAGAAGTAAAGGAACTGCTCCAGATGCAAGAACCCTCCAATGGTTTCCTGAATGCATCAGCAGCCCATAGATTGCAACAAGAGCATTCTTTTTCCCTCTGTAGTTTGCTTCTTTGACCATCTCTACCAAATACGAGATAGCTTCTGTGGTTTCACCAATCAATTTCCTGTACTCCTCTACTGAAGAGAGATAGAAGAGTGTTGCAGCTGCATGCTGCCTAGCTGCCTCCACCTTCACTCCCTTCTTCAGCATATCTACAATGAATCTCAACCCACCATTCTCAGCAATCAAAGCCTTGCTTCTCGAATGCTTTGAGAGATTCAGGATGGCTGCAATGGCATTCTCCTGACAAGAACCGTCTTCTTCTTCTGAAGACAGCAATTCCAAGAGAGCAGGAATAACTCCGGCTTCCACCAAACAAGACCTGTTAAAAATGTTTGTTTTGCTGAGAAGCCGGATCTCATAAGCTGATCTGTTCCTCCATTTATAATCCCCACCAAGGAGCTTATCGGCCAGAAATCTAGCTGCAGCTTTCATAGCACATTCAGCAGCCAAACTCCCAGCAGCAGCCGTTCTGGTTATGTCCCGGGCGTTGCGACTGGAATCAACAAATGGGATGCCATTTGCAAGGCAATAGCGCTGAATCAATTGCTTCAGAGCAACGTTGGGTACAAACTCTGTGCTTGACAACTTGTTCCCTGTGTTGGGACAGGTTGCATTTCCAGCCCTGAACCATTTCAGAATCGAGCAACGTTCGTAAGTATGCCCCGTCTCGATAGTGACCGGATCCCTCATGATTTCAAGAGAAATCGGGCAGCGGAAATCGTCCCCGTCAAGGGAACCCAGCAACTCATCGTTACGGCTTTCACCCTCGCAGTGAACTGGCGGATCGGATTTGCCGTCGACTGAATCGAACAACACGCACCTAGCGTAACTCGCGAACCCTAGCAGGCTACTCAGCAGTTGCAATTCTCTTCTCATTTCCTTATTGTTCGAATAGTGAAACTCAATCTCAGAGTCCAAGAAGTTTACCTCCCTGTAGCAGTCGCTCCATTTCTTCACCCCGATGTAGTCCAGGACTCGCTTGACCTCTCCGCGATCGGGGACCTCGCCGCTCTCGAACCGGCTCAAGATCGCCAGGACATCGGCCATGGCTATTTGGGCATCCGCTCCGACTTCGAACCTCGTCTCTCTCGCTTGTCTCGTCACCAACTCGGCCACCTCCATCGCCTCGCGCGGCAGATCGAGAGCCTCGAGCGGCAGGACCTCCAGAGCCGTAGCCATCTCGCGAACGAGAACCCGGAAATGATTGGCGACCCGATCCGACTCCATCAGCATCCAGATCCGGGCGCCGTCGTCGCGGGTGCAGTCGTCGAGCAGGTACAAGACCTTCTGGACCGTGAAGTGGAGCTCCGAGAGGCCGAGGAGGAGCGAGTCGGGAACGGCGGAGAACCGGATTTCCTGGAGGAGGATGAGGAGGTTACCGACCTGGCGTATGGTTTGGCGCGCATTCCGTGCGTTGCTGCTGCCGAACGACTTGGATGATCTGTAGTCGCAGGCAGAGCGGCATAGGCAGACGAGGGAAGCGAGGAGCGTCGCCGGAGCTATGGTTTCGCATGGGTGAACCGCCGGGAAGGTCAGAATCCGGCGAGTGGGGATGTAGGGCTTTTGGATCATGAAGATGAAGACAAAAAGAAGAAAAAGGGGGTGGATTTAGATTTTGTTCGTTTGTCTTTGTTGATGGTGGAGTGAACGGTAAGTGACCGTTATTATATATAGTGGGGGAAGGGGAAAGCTAGGGGTGGACAGGTGGTGGAGCATGATTCGACTGTGACGGATCTGACGGTGAGGTAGGAAGGAGCGGGGGAAGGGCCCATGTCAGGTAAAAGGCGGATTGAAATGGAGAGGACAGGTGGCGGGAAATAATTGGGTTGTGGCTGGGAAAGTTACGGGAAATTGAGTAGCCGACAAGGTGTACTGATGGAACGTGGAATTATGAGAGGAGAGGCGGGAGCTTAGTTGGCCTAGCATTGGATTCTGATTTCTGAGTACGTGCATTGTCAAGGCTATATACTAGTTATTAACATTTTCTAGGATTATATATTTATATTACTTGTTAATTAATATATAAAATTCTCTTCTGCTTTTCTTAATAGCTTTGGACGAAACGGGGGAATATGATGGGTCGGGCAGCTCCGGTAGCTGGGCTATCATCGAGGCCTTATAGCCTATTGGGCTTCATTTATTCTGCCAGCAACGTATAACAGCTGGCCCTCACAGGAAAAAAGTTAATTGGGCTTTGTTAAAGCCTTCCTCTTGGCCCAACGACTGCCTCCTGCTTGTTTTTCCATTTTTTTGTTCGCCTTAAATTTTTTTATTTTATTTTATTGAAACAAATGTTTAATTTATTTCTTCACCAAAAAAAAAAAAGTTTAATTGATTTTTCATCCTTACATAGTTACATTACAACTAAGACTAAAATTTTCAAGTTTTCCTACTGCTTATTTCCTCCAATGAACTTTTAAGAACCAAAACTTCTAATTATACCTAGATACTTGGTCGTACTTGGGCCGACATGATACAGTTAAAGATAGCAAAACAACTCATGATTGTGGGTTCAACTAAATCCATATCAATTTTGCAAGGAAAAGTCCAACCAATACTACTTTTGGGGGCTTGATATAGTTTTGGTATGCTAGGTATCCACACCAAACTCACTCGAATATGTAATACAATTATGGGTTAGACTTATTCGCTTCAACAATTCAATCATCCATATGTTTCAAGTATTATAGTTATATATTTAGGACCCAAATGGTGCTCATTATTCCTCACTTTTATAAACAATGTCTTATCAAAATTTAAAAGTAAAATTGTTCAAAGTTGTTTTGAACTTGTAGTTATCTCTCTATTTTTTTTTTATACGAGGAAAAATCCGTCTTGCGACAACAAACCCCGACGCCCATAGATACCGACAAACCCTGGGAACTGATTCTCTCTTTTTTCTTTTTTGGAATGATGCGTTAAACTCAACTTAACTAGCCCAACTAAACGATTACCCATACTACATTGCATAACTGGACCCCTTCTCTTATGGGAGGTTAAGTAAAATTCAAAGAGTTAACCTAGTTGAATATTAAACAAGTCAATTACTACCACCGCACGAACATCAACATAGCTAAAACCTAACATGCCAACCAAAATTATCCTAGTATTTATGCGCCAAAGTCACTTAGCCCCTTCTCTTATGGGAGGTTAGGTAATATCCAAAGAGTTACCCTAGTTGAATACCAAACAAGTCAATCACTACTACCACATCAACATAGCTAAAACCTAACATGCCAACCAAAATGCGCCAAAGTCACTTGGCCTTAATCAAAATTATCCTTGTATGTCAGCTCCGATGTCTGGAATAGTTAAAGTGCTAACTTTATAAGGGTTAGCATCATATTAATTTTTCTAATTGCATTCAATTATTTTTAAGTTGAATTTGATGGTTCAGACTAGTAATTGACTTGTTGGGTATTCAAGAAATTAAATTTAATGAATAAATTAAAATTTGGAATTTCTCTCTCCTCTCTTCAGCTCTACGTGCAAAATTACTACTACTTATATTACTAGTGGTTAAGCATTTATATTGTAGCAATTTTATTATTATCGACAATGGTTTTATTACTATAAGTGATTTTGATTTTTACTATTAATTTTTATTAATACATATTGACGCATTTTATTAAGGAAGAGTATTGAAAATGATATATAAATAAATCAATACATCAAATGCTAAAAAAATACTCTTTTTTGTAGAAAATGCGACGCTAAAAGAGCGCCCTTGTCTGCTACTTAAATAAAACGATCTTGGGCAATGCCCATAGTGTCATACAGGATCCAAAAGTTTAGACCCGAATATTAAAACTCTTAAAAGAACAAGTCTTGAAAACACTGTTTCATAGAGTCACATCGAATGAGTGCTCTTTTTGTAATTAACCAAAGCTTTAATATTCTAAGTAAGGGTCTAAGGGATGATCATTCCGTAATTAAACCAAAATTAGAGGACTTTTGGGATTCTTTTTGTTACCTTTTCTTCTTCCACTCTTCCCAGCCACACAAAATCAGCTCCCTTCTCAATCATCTCTCTCATTCCACCCACCCACCCTCCATACTTTCCTTTCTCGGCTGGAGAAGAAGGAAAGAGTGACAAAGAAACCAGAGAAGAAGATGAGGAGGAAGAGAGGACCTCACCAAGATGAAGGATAGCAGGGTCGATGTTGGGTGCGAATCGGCGATAGGGACGTGGCGCTCAGATGCAGCGGCGATGGTGCCTGAGTGGTGGTCCGTCAGCGACGATGGGACGAGGCGAGTGACGGCGGCTGAGCTGAGCGGCGGAGGTTGGGCTGTGGTGGTGCGTGAGCTGTGGTCCGTCAGCGGCGATGGGAGGAGGTGCGATGATGGTCTGGTAGTACTGCGGTGCCCGCGGTACGACAAGCTGTGGTCCGTCAGCGGCGATGGGTGGAGGGGTGGCGGTGGTCTGGTGGTGCTGCGTTGCTTGCGGTCCGACGACGAGGCTAGAGGAAGCGGTTGTGCTTCGTCGATGATGACGCAGGACTGCAGGAGCCTTACTATTTTTGTATGAGTTTCTCTACTTTCTTCCTTTCAGATGGGTGGGTTTTAAATTACGACGGCTGGATTTGAGAGGTTCAGCGGTGTTGCCGGGTTCGGATTTCAGGTGATGGGTCTCTTTTTGTGATTAGTTTGTTTACTCTCTTTTCTTTCATGTTTTAGTTCTCATTTTCTTTTTCAGGAGGGTTTCTTCGTCCACTTTCAATGAAAGAGCCATCTTTGTTGAAGGGAAGTATGAATCGGAGGCGATGGGGGAAGACCCATATCTGCAGAAGTGTTTTAGACCAGCTGAAGAACGAGCCTTTTGTCGTTTCACTTTTAGGTTGAGTGTTGTTCTTTGCGTATTTCATTGTTGTACTTTCATTTATGTTCTTTTCGACTGATCAAGCTTTATTGTTGTTATTGTTTGGCCTATTTTGCTTGCTGCCGACAGCAGGAGAAGAGGGAAGCAGCAAGGAAAAGGTGATTTGGGTTACTCTATGATGAGAAGTGGGATTGTGCCCTACCACCTATGAATCGATCCATGGAAAGGGTCAGACGACCCACCGGCACTGTAGACGGTGAATTGCTGGTAAGAACTAGATGGGAGCGCCCCCAAAGATGTTTGATTCAGTGCGCTTGATTGTTTGTTGATTTATGTTTGTTTGGATTTACCTGCTACCTAATTTCTGCATTTTTACATTTGTGAGTCCTACTTCTTTTGTTTCAAGTATGTGAAAGAGCCCAACTCAAATTGCATTACCTAACTCAAATTGCATTTTGTTGCAGGTTATTGCAAAGCAAATAATATCATAGGACACCTCACGAGTCTCCAATACATGTAAGCATACATAACTATCTTCTCTTCCACATGATGCCCAAGGACCTGAGCTGTTTGGATCATGAATCCCATATTCTCTTTTCGTTTACATTTTGGCTGGTGAAGAAGTTTCATCATGAGAAGTAGTTGAAAATGATCATGGACTAGGATTTGAAAGGGAACCATGACAGAATGGAGCCAGAAGAGCTGGTTACAAATTTTGGTTTTCTCTGGTCTGATGCTCAAGAACTTTTTTTTTTTTCATAGAAATCTTGGTAGATTTACAAGGCAAGGATAAGGGTAGCCACAATAACCGGCACACTCACTTATCAAAAGACATATAAAACAAATAAGAGAAGTCGAATAACAATGAAGGTAATCCAGGAAAGCGTAGGGCATGAATCCATATTCTCTCTTTTCGATTACATTTTGGCGGGTGAAGAAAATTTATCATGACAACCAGTTGGAAATGATGGTGGACTAGGATTTGAAAGAGAAGTAGGGAACCATGACAACATGGAGTTGGAAGAGCTGGTTACAAATTTTGGTTTGCTCTGATTTAGGGTTTAACTTTAACTAGCATTTTGTAATTATAGGGTGAGATTTCATTCTGTCTTTTGCTCAGCATTGTCAGTCTTTGTTTGAATAATTATTTATTGGATTGTGATTGTTAGAGGATATAAAACAAAGAAGGATAATAACAGATAAAATGTTTATGCGCGTTGCAAAGATGCTTCTGATGAAAACCCCCAGTAATATACTTTCCTTGATCATTAGAAGCTTATTATCAGTTTACCAGAAAACTGAATTTAAATTCCTTTCTCTTGCAGGCTTGCAGCCACTATTGCCATGTCTTGACTTTACTTGAATGAGGGAGCAAGAGTCTTTCTGTATAGTACTCCAAAACCATGGCCAAAGCAGAACTCTGGTAGCCTTTGCTCTCATGATTGAAAGAATTGGCATATTGATGTGTCCATTATTGCAAAACTAGCTAAGTTACTTCCTCTCATTTTAAATTTCTAATGGCCATTTGCTGTATTTCTTCCTCAGGCTCCTCTTCATGTATGGAAGTTGAACACTGCCAAAGCCATCGTAAGTAACAAATCTGTGTGGGACGCTACCAATTTGTTGCCTCGGGAAACACTTCCAAACTCATATGTAGACATGATCAACACCACACCTCATTGTGAATCTTCTACGCATCGCCACTTAGCCTATGATGCAACTGTGAGCAGCCTCTCCACTTTGTTAACGGAATGAACCTTTTCTGACTGTTTGATTGTTGAGTTCGTTGATTCACTCATTTT